TACAGGCACCCAATAATTCTACCACCACTCAGAGTTGCAGCAGTGAGAAGGGGATGGTGTAGGCAAAGTCAAATGCTGATGGAGAAACACTGCTAGACAAGGGCCGTCTGACTGAACAGTGGTGCACTGACCATTCTGCCGGTTTTGCAGGATTTTCCACAGCCTGTTGCTTTCCAATAACTTAAGACCATCTCTAAACTGCATAGAGTTTGGGTGATCTTGTCTCTTCACTTTAGGCTCTGTTTGCCCACTTTCACCAATGTTAACATGCCCTGTGTGTGCATTTTGGACAGCCTGTGGGCTGTGCTGACTGGGAACATGAGGCACTTCATTACCCAAGGAGACATTTCTGCTGCACTGTCAAATGCAAACATGGAAAACTTTTAAGCTCTCTTGACAGAAGCCCAATGAGAACAAGTTTCTGCAGTAGACTTGTACTAAACTTTATATATGAATAATTCCATCAGGTTTTTGTGAATCCCTCCCTCACACCAGTGAGCAGCTCAGCAGGATCTGATAATTTCTGTGAGCAACTGCACATGAGTGCAGCAAGTGGAAGAGATTCTGCTTTTCCATTTTCTAAAGTCAAATGTGTAAGAGGTTGTGAGGGCTGAGCTATACTTGAAATCATATCCATTGAATTCCAACCTGCTGTCTTTGTATGGGATGAGGCAAAATATCAATCAGAAATTTAAAAAAAATTCAGTTTCTTTTTAGAAACAAAGCAAGAAATGCATCAATCTGAAGAATATGTTTTTTATAAGATAGCAGCAAAAGCTATATTGGAGCAGCATGGAAAACAAGAACATTTTCACACATTTCATGAAAAACAGAAGTTGCCATTATTTTTCAATCCTCTGTGGGCTATTCTGTGGGCCATTTTCAACACAGCTAAGCAGGCATGGAATTTAGGCTGTAATTTTCACAGGGACCCAAGTGAGTTAATGGCCTAATCTTTATTGAAATTTCTCATCTTAACTTCAAGCAGCCAATAGCAGTAACTGCTCCCATAATCAAATATCATAATCAGTGATTCTTCAGTGCTTGTGTTCTTTCCTGATGTATGTTACTTATGTTGCATGTTATGTTGGACATTTAAAAATAAGAAAAACAAAACAAAACAAAAACTCAACAACTTAAACCTTCCCCCCTCCCCCACCAAACACAATGCACACAAAATCCAGCCCCACATTATGGTGGTTTGGTTATGTTCTTTCATTTGTGGGTATTACACAGCTCTGCCTGTAAATCATGTAAAATGCAGAGGTCTACTGAAAAAACCCACCCATTACAGCTGCAAAAAAGTAAATATAGGTTTTTCTTTTTCTATGCTTCCAGGAGAACCATCACAGTAAAAAGAAATACAGACACTAAAACCAGGAGGATTATACAAGTTAAAACTAGTACAAGACTGTGCATTTTATTAGTATAATTTACATTCTAGCAGGATCCAATCTAGTGTTGAGAAATATGAGTATCCAACCTCTGACAGGATAGGGCTCTGCTGCTTTCCCCTTATCACAATAAAATTAAGGTTAGCCCTCTCAGTACTCTGTGGATCTCTTATAAATACACATAGAGCCTCACATAGAAATGTCAAACTGTATAAAAATGCCAAATGCCGCTCTCCATTGATGGAATCAAAATAAAATATAATAAAGAGAATATTCTGCCTATAGATAGGTAGCCATGCATATAACCATCCACATGACTCCAGAAATGTCACTGGAGCTTGAACTGCTTCAAATGGGGGCATAAATGTAGCCTGAAAAAATACTGCACTCAGTAATGACACCAACCTGCCTTAGTTCTCATAATCACACCAACTCCATTCAGTACCAGTCTCTTGGGCTGGTACTTCTGACCTCAAAAAATTAAAAGCCAACTTTAGGAACTTGCATATGAATGTGTGCAAATGCCAACAGGAGTTTCCAGGTGCCTCAGGTGCTCACACCGAGCTGAAGACAGCCTATGAAACAGTCCCTCTGATGCTTTGGGAACAGCCAGGACAAAACAAAAGGGCTATAGGTTTTTCCTGACAACCATCCTATAGGAATGCATTCCATCACAGCCCATATTCACTTCTGCAGAAGTCATGAGATTGATATTTTGCAACACAACTAGTCAGGACAGTTGGAGGAATATTGAACAAGGTGTGAGCTCAGGCCCTGCCAAGGAAATTCACAGTGCAGTTACAAGAGACAAGGCATTACCCCTTTTCCTTCCTACACTGTGGATTCCTGAGCTTTCTCCAAGTTCCCCTCTTTTCACAATATCACACTGGATAGCCAGCTCAGAGAAAGAGTTTTCAACTTCAGGGCAGCATCTATCTCATTAAATCAAGACAAACCTTTATCCATCAAGAAAAGATGACATCCTAGGCCATAAGATCAAATTGGCTGTTTAAAAGCTCAGAGAAGACTGAGTCACCAGAATGAGAGGATGAGGCAATTTTTGGGCTTCTCCCAGGCTGACAAATGAGAACAGTTGAGAACAGGTCAGTTGAGGCTGTTGTGAGTCCTAGTTCACCTCCACAGCTGCACACCCTTCCACAGCAAGCGAATAAAACCCCTGTGCCAAAAAACTACCTGTGAATGGCTGTAAAGAACTTTTGCCATGATTCTTTTTAGTAACTAACAAAGCACTAAAGCAACAGCCCCAGCAAGGGATACAGAGAGAGTGCTTCACTGCCCAGGAGCCCACACACAGCGTCCACACATACATGGATGCACACCCTCCCTGTGGCTGGTATTGCCCAAAGTGATCATCAGCAGAGCCCTTCTCTCCTGCACACAAAACTAACCCTACTTTCTTCTGATGGACAAGTGTCAGTGTAGAATATTCCTTCACTGATTTTCCCAGCATTTACATGAATTGAACTACTGTGGTGGACTTGTCTGGATTCACTGTTTCCCATACACGTGGCAATATTGTTTTTCACATCAGGAAAGCCAGCACAAAAACTCTAAACATGCTGTATGAAAATATTAGTTTTAGACTGCTGGTGGTTTATTTATTCTGCAGTAGGCAGGACTGCAAGTGTAACACAAACTATTGATTTCCTCAGTATAAGATTTAAAGTCATACAGGAACATTGAGAGCCTCAAATTTGATCATCTGCAATACCCAGACTACAGCAATTTGTTAACTCAGTAAAACTGCACTTGAACTGGAGCCCATATTTTAGACTCTGTTTTGATCTTACAGACAACTGCAGGCCACTACCTCCTGCAGTATGTGAGTCAGAGGAAAGTTAATTTCCTGATCTCTTTATTAACAATCAATAAAACCCACTGCAAACCAAGAGGCTGAAGGAGGGAGGGAATCCTTTTGATACTTTTTCACTGTTTTAACCTCTGAAGGGTGAGAACAAACTTACTCTGTGACACACCTGACTGCTTTATGAATAAAAATACTTCATTGGTTTCTTTTCTGTCCTTCATACCCACACATTTACTGATCTATCAGCCTCAACACCAGCCAACAACAGGACTTCTACCAGATAATGACTTGGAATATAAGAAATATTTATTTTATTAATCTAATCAGAAACATTTCCATTTATTTCTTCTGTGTTCAGGACAGATCTTTATTTTAGATCTGTCATTATTTCAGAAACTATTATAATTATTCTTTGTAAAATCTCCTAAGCAGAGGATCTCTTTCATTTCCCAAACCGAATCTAGATTGTCTCCATAATCCCTTTTCATGACAGCTCTCTTCCACCTTTCTCGCACATCTAATAATTTCTGTAACCAAAACTCAACATTATATTCACAGTGAGGCAAGTCTGTTATACAATGATATGATAATATTTTCTAAGTGATTTTCTTTCTAAACATAACCAAGTGTTGTGTTTGGGTTTTGGAGGCCCATTGCATATTAAGTAGATGCCTTTACTCCTGTATGATTTCTGCCAAGAGCTGACAAGTAATTCAGAATCCAATAATGCATACAAGTAATTTTAAATTGTCCCTTCTACTATAATTACCTGGCAAGTTAATTCCATGTTCCAGCTACAGAATGCTATAGAACCTAATTCCTTGAAGTCCTTCAGAAGTGCCTCTGACAATCAGTCACTGGTATGACTAATATATAATCACTTGTATCACTAATATACTACTAATTATATTCATAATTTATGCATTAATGAACACAGTGTTGTTTTCGGTGTTGTTTTTTTTGCTATTGTCTTTCCATTCCTAAAGAAAGTGTTTACCACTCATGTACCTGATGAATGTTAATTCATGGTAAAATTTTGTCACCTTCCCTATGATTATAAAGTCTTCAATTGTAAGGGACTTTTGATTTTGATTGAATAAGTAGGTAGCACACAATTATGCCCTTGTTTTGGATTTATTCATGTAAGATTTTTTAAAAGAAAAGGGTAAAGAAAATTTAAATAGGCAATATTGCCTGTACAACTGAAGGAACAATTGTAAAACATAAGGAAAATGTGAAAGCACAAACAAAAGCTGTGTTTATTGAACTTTTATGCATTTACCCTGGCTTTCCACAAAGCTCTAAGTACACATGTGCTGCAAGGAGCAGTGTGGAAAGATAATGAATTTTATACCTTTGCCTGTGCTGAGGACACTTCCTTTTCAACAGTATCAATGTGGCTCTTAAACCATAAACATATTTTAAAAAATCAAACTCGCTCTGATGGGTATCTCTTCCTACATGCTCCTAGTAAAGTTTGTTGGCTTCTTTGCTTTTTTTGTGGGCATTTTTGTGTGGTTTTCTGTTCCCTTTTCTTTTGTTAATGACAGATGCACTTGGCAGTATCTGTGACCTTGAGTTGTACACTTGAGCAAGCAAGACAGCCCAGTCCTGCCAGGCTGCTTATGCATTCTGAGAGAGCTCCTTCTGAGAGGAGTGTCTCAAGGAAGACAGAAGCATGATGTGCATACCAAGCCAAGAGCTTCATGATTTATTTATAGGGAAAAGGGGCATATAAATTTGCTGAAGGGGAAAGAAAAATGAAGAATTTGACTTACCTTGTCGGTGTAGACGAAGAACAGAATCACAACAGTGAGCTCCAACAGAAATATAATTAACAGCATGATAAAAAACTGTCAAGAGAAGAAAGGACAGGGGATAAAACAAAAGCAAAAGCCATCAACATCTATTTCAGCTTTTTCTGGATGCACAGCAAGTACATTCAGCAGATCATGCAGAATGGGGAGTGGGAGTCATACAGGTAGCAGGATACAAAGCTGCTGCAACTGAAAAAGCAGATAACACCGCAGTGTCTGGGCATAGGCATGGCTCATTTATAGCACTTATAGTAGAACAGCCTAAACCCCCACCAAGAGCAAGCCAGTTCTCTCTTTGACAGCAAACCTCGAGGAGTCTTCCCATGCTAGGTTTTCTTTATTTTTTTCCCCACTAGATACTAATGATGATAGCCAATGCTATCAATGAAATCCACAGCTCAAATTCCCACCCAAGAGAAGGTAGCCTGGGCCATAAATCATTAAGTCACAGCTCCTTTCAAGGGTAATTGTGGGATAAAAGGGGAAGTGAAAGGTGTACCAAGTTAGCTTTATGAGCAGTTTCAGGGAGATATACAAATCACCCATGAGTTTCAGGTGAAAGGGGCTGATTTCTACTGAAGACATCAAAGCAAAGTTGGGCCACCTCTCTTTCTGCTCATAAGCCATAGAACTGCCTAAAATCCAGGAGTCAAAAGCTTGAAAGACTGGTTAAAAACCTTTTAACTCAGGGATTTCAGGTAGGTTCTCTAAAGCCCTCAGCTCTTTTTTGATTGACTTCAGTGAGAGGAACTACTGGCAATGCCAAACACCTCTGGGAAACCACATCCTCTGCATTTTGTTCCCACACTGGATGGATCTGCAGCAGCATCAACACAGCACTTGCACATTTTAGAGTGAGCACTATCAGAGCATTAAAAGAAACTGAGTTTCGCATAGACAGGTAAAGGAGAGAGCAATTTTGGAAACTTTTTAGGCTGAGGCAAAGGTCCAGCTCCCCATAACACAAAATTCACACACTTAGCAACCTGTAAGGGTGGAATTCTAATACTGAGCAACACTGACTTAATTGGAATCCCATCCCCAAGAGAAAAACGCAATTACTGTCTCTTCAACCACAAGGCTGCAAACCTATAAAAGTTTAATAGCTACTAAGCCTTTATCAGAATTTCTGTACTGCCTGGTAAGCCAAAACCAAACCTTTGAACCCATGGATTTATGTGACTGAATGGAGGGCAAAAAGTCACAAAGGGGAAAATACTTTTCTTCCCTGGTACAATTACCGTGTCTACAGAAGTCATTGCATTTTGCCCCATGAATCTTAAATTATTTATTTTCAGATTCTCATCACCAGTATTTTCACACCTGCCTGACCCTAATACTGGATCCTATTACTGCCCAGTTTTGAATCACAGACCTCATTTATGCCCATGATCCAAGCTGATTTCCATATCATTACCATCCAACACTGACCTTCTGTATGGCTTTGCACACCTGTCTTGGTGCAGCTTGCTTATTTTTTACAATTTTAGCCTGCTGCATAGCATTATATGAAACAGGACAAAGCATATCCCTCTTTGCAAAGATGCACAGACACTTTGCTCTATTTGGCTGTAGAGTACTTTTTTGCTCATCCATAAAAGCATCACTTATCCAAAATGCGCATGCGAACACCATTTTCTCCCTGTAAAATTCCCTGGCATAGACAGGATTGCATGAGACAATTTCTAGAACAAAGGAGAAAGACTGTTTGTTACCCATTATATACAGTGATCAGCATTTCCTACCACAGGACCTCAGTTTCATCAGCTTATCATTTTGCCAAATCTTAATTGTCTGTGCTGATATGTTCTGTGCTTGTTTCTGTCGAAAGGATAAAAGCTTTTGGAAGAATGTCAAAAATAGCACTCCAATTACATCTAAGAACGAAGCAGAGCAAAGTATCCTGTTCTTCCCTGGTTAAATTTCTGGTGCTTTAATTTGAAATCCTCTCATACTGCAGTGCTTAGAGCACGGGCCTGACACAGTGCAGTTCAATTTCAGGCACAGAAATTTCAGCCTTTTGTCTTACCCAGCCACGAGTGGATGTTGTAGGAAGGTTATTTGCTTTCAAGAGTCTGCATTTCACACATCACAGAGATGAGAGGGCTCAGCAGCTAAAGCCTGGAAATCGTACACCCACATGTTCACACACGACCAGACAAGCCACAAACCATTCCACAGATCTTTTCTGCTCCTCTGGTGCCTTTCTACCATCTCCCCAAAGCCAATAACCTCCAGCCCCACTTCACAGGACATGATCTGGAACAGGGGACATGTCCAGGAACTGGAATAAAACTTAGGGATCTGTTTTTCCTGTTCTCTCAAGAAAGTATTTCCTCCCTACTCTGCATGCAGCATCATGGAGAGAGTACAGATGAAGCCAGGGAGTGACTGCAGGACAAAGGCTACCCCAAGTAAGTACACTTTTAACAGCAGATGGGGAATGGTTTGGCTTAGGATATGATCTGGCTACAAGTTTTAGAAAAACTGGACCTACAAGCAGCAGACAATCCAGGTAGGAGACACTTGTGTACATAGATACCCAGGAGGAATGAGGTCTTTGAGAGGATGGTGGCCTGGGGAGGACTCCAGGCTAGGGCCATGGAAAAAAAAGAGCAAGAAATAGAGTGGCCATAAAAGAAAAACATCCTGCACTGATCCCCATGACTGAGTACAATGTGCAGGGAATGAACTGGAGACTGGCAAAGAGGGAGGAGAGGTGTCTGGAGGGAAGCTTCTCAAGAAGAGGTGTTTTCTCAAGTATGTCATTATTTCTTAATACTAGGAACAGTAATTAAAATTTCATCTTAATTGGTAACAATGCAGTGAAATTTCACATCTCAAGAGTATTTCCCCTTACAACACCAACTCTGCTAAAAGCTACCAACTTCAGACTGGAGCAGAGAGCTGCTCTTGCCAGCTGTGCCACTGTGTCTAGTGAAGGAGGCTAGACCTTCTGACAAGACCCTGACACTGCTCCTGCCTTCCTCAGGTCATACTAGAGAAATAGGCAGGACACTGATGCCCAAAAAGATGTTAAAATTGTGGAGTCAAGCACTCAAAATTTAGGGAATATCAAAATAAAAATCCTCTCAGTGATGGTTATGTATCATGCCTAAGTCTTTCCCTACACAGACTGAGAGGGCCCTCCAAGCTGGGAATTTGGTTTCATGCACTGCAAATCTTGGAAACCATACAGTGAACCAAAACTAATGTACATTGTTCAGAAAATGAAAACATAGGAAAGGATTATCCTTTATCTCTATAGAAAAATGTTTTGGTTTTATACAAAAGTATAGAGTACCTAATTCTATCTTTTTAAACATTTGGAAGCACTGACAGAGCCCACATGGCTATATCACAGATAACTAAGAGGTATTAGGAATCCCCACATGTGCAGACAGTAGAGACCTGTGCTGAATCTTTCATTACAAATGTTAATTAAGTGAGATCAACCTCAACCCGGAGGCTTCACACTCATCACCTGGTAAAAGCTCCAAGCACTTGCATGTCAGCTCATCTGTCATTCCCCTTCTACAGAAGAGCTGTACCTGAACCCAAACCAACACCTTGGAAAGCAGCAGGCAAGGCTTCAGCCTGTGTTGGCTGCAAAGCAAGTCCTGCACACTGCAGCACATCCTGCTACTCACCAGTGTGAAGTGCAGGCATGGACACATGCACAGCCTCCTCCTCTAGCCCACAGCACCTTCCAACAGGTCATTTTCACTTCCATCCTCAGTATAACCCAAAGGGAATGATGCCCAGTCTGAGGCCAGACCCAGCTTGGCATATACCATTCAAGTTTAGAAGGAAGAAAGATGAACTCAGTGAAGATTCACAGTACCTAAATGCCCACCACACCTGCTGGAAACTCTCACAGTTGCTTTTCAATGGAGTTCTCTCACTGTGGTGATAAATACTGAGAAGAATAAAACTGAGTTTTGTTTGGTTCACTGGGGCTGTAGGCTATTGGTATAATAAAGATTTATGCGTGGAGAAACAACAATCCCAAAGCAAAGCATTCATGTGAAACTCCATAAAAAAAGATTAATCTGACCTTGTACAGAGAAATGTTTTACCATACTACTTGTCAAATAGTGGGATGCAACCCAGCAGAGGTTCAGTGGAGAGCTCCCTGCAGCTCAGCTTTTCATAAATTACACCTGAAATAACCCCACAGAAGCTTTGATGAGGAGGGAGGTAAGGTAACACCCTCCTGTCTACCACTGCTGATTTCCAACCCCTAAGAAAACTAAGGCCAGTTTCTCAGCAGCTACCTTTATATTCTACAAAGCCTTTGACTTTCCCACGGATTCTCACTAAAGGTGTATGGAAAAGTAAGTGTGCAACTGCTACCAAACCTACACCATGGATAAGTATCCCCCTCTTGCTGTCACAGAGAAAAGTCTGCTAGAGGAGAGGAGGTCCCAGCTTTCAATTCCATTCCCACTGGATCTGTACCAGGCTTTTGACTCACTTCCAGTTTTGTTCATTCAGGCTGTTGATACCAATTGGAGAATCAAGAACTGTACCCTGTGTACATCACTTAAAGCACATTTCCATTGCTGCTCACACAGGCAGAGAACAAGAAGTTAATTGTATTTCCCACCCAAACAAACAGGATTCCCTGGTTTCTCAGATGCTCCAGACACTTGTCCCTCAGCATGACTGACATCACACACTAATACACAGGATTGGGTCGCCTTCTTCCCCACTGCCTCTCCCTCCCAAATCTTCTCAATAGCAGGATCATGTTGCTCAAATTGCCCATCTCTCCATGTCAGGAGTAGCTGACCTTCTCTCAGTCTCCCAAAGGCAAAAGTGTCCCAACACAATGAAAACCAAGGTGTGATTGTCTTGTTAGCCTCCTAACACTTTGCTGTGAGACTAAATGTGACATAAATGATGGCAAACTCCAGACTGCTCTGTTTCGACTGCTTGCTGAAGTAATGTTTTTAGTTTGATGGGGGCTGTCTCAGAAGGGGACAGTAGGATCTCAGTGCGCCAGACCTGTTTGTCAACTTAGCTCATGACAG